CCCCATAGTATGCGCTACCAAAGACGCGTGACGCATGGATGCGTGAAGTGAGGATTGCTTACGGAAACCTCATAGGTTGAGTGATGTAGGAGGTTGCCGGACACATAGACGTCTTGAGTGATTATAGCTGTATACTGAAACCCCACGGAAAGGGGAGGTTTTAGATTGCCAGACACATAGACGGGTTGCGTGGGGATAGCTGCTGGAACCCCACGGGTTGAGTGATGTTGGAGTGCCGGAAACATGGACGCGTTGAATGAGGATAGACACATACTGAACCTCACAGGTTATTTGTATTGGAGATTGCGAGACACCTAGACGTGTTGAGTGAGGATAGCTGCATACTGAAACCTCACAGATGCATTGGTTTTTGCCAGACACATAGACGGGTTGCGTGGGGATAGCTGCTGGAACCCCACGGGTTGAGTGATGTTGGAGTGCCGGAAACATGGACGCGTTGAATGAGGATAGACACATACTGAACCTCACAGGTTATTTGTATTGGAGATTGCGAGACACCTAGACGTGTTGAGTGAGGATAGCTGCATACTGAAACCTCACAGATGCATTGGTTTTTGCCAGACACATAGACGCGCTGAGTGGGGATAGCTGCATATTGAAACCTCACAGATGGATTGGTTTTTGAGTTTGCCAGACACATAGACGCTCTGGGTGGGGATAGCTACATGCTGAAACCCCACAGATGGATTGGTTTTTGAGTTTGCCAGACAGACCATTTGAGTGGGGATAGCTACATACAGTCGAGGGACCCTTTTAGTGCCGGTTGAATAGTGCCAGATGCCCGGTATAGTGCCGGTAAAATCTCTGCACACAGGCGGAGCTCTCAATAGTGCCAGACCGGCACTAATTAAAGCATGCCCGATATAGTGCCGGTTCGGCACTGCTGTCACCCCCAATAGTGCCGGTACTCCGCACGCGCGAAACACACACACGCACAACCCAGGGCAGAAAACATAGACTCCACACACAATTTTTCTGTTGCCCTCTCCCCCGTTTGCTGTCGCGTTCATTCTGTCTCTAGGGATATCCCTGTCTCTGTGCGAGTTTGTTTGTGTCCTCGTCTTTGCTTTATTCTGTTTTATTTTGTCTTTTGTTTT